TAAAATATTTGATTTTAAAGTTATAAAAGAAACTGCTGAAGCTTATGGTGTAGGATTTGATATCATTGAAGGTGCTGCTCACAATATTATGTTGGACCTTACATGGGAGGATGCTGCTTGTGTTATTTTTAATAGAATCCAAGAAAATATTATTAACAAGAAATAATTATATATTTTCTATAAGTAGAGTTTGGTAGTTTAATGTACTATTAGAAATTATGCTACCTCTTATTAATTTTCATTAACATAATTGTTATTTGTCTTTCTTCGAATAAAAAGTTATTATAAAGTATAATAATAGGGTATATAATGATACTGTTCTAGTCTAAAATTTCGTGGTGGCCCAGCCTTCGCTTCCTTTTTTTTTGGGAAACTTCATATTAAAAATTATTTGTATTTTAAAATAATTCTTAATTACACAAGAAAAAAAAGAAAATATATAATTTTTTCTTTAGTAATTAATAATTCATGCGCACAACACAGTTCAAATATTAAAGTTGAATGGCAAAAATTTTATAAATATATAATATGTATGTAAAGGTCAAAATTAATAACGTTTTTAAATTTCGGATGACATCTCTTTTTTTAATAATTTTGTCACTCCGTCAGCCAGCTTCTGAATAATTGATATTTTTAAGGAATAGCTCAGCCCATATTTATAATGCCGGCCAGCGTTACATTTAACCGGTGTTAGCTTAAACGGTTCGTCGTTAAGTTAACTAAGATTATTTGCTAACAGGGAGTTTAAGTGCATCTAAACTATGGAAGAAATAAACACGGATTAATTATGTTGAAGGGTCAGGTCGTCTTTATCGATATAGATTTAAAGAAGTATGAAATTGTATATTGAGCAAAGATATAATTGTTAAGAGATAAATGTTATTGATTTATTAGAGAATTGTAGCGACTCTGCCATTTATTGAGGCAGAAATACAAGATATTTATATAAAATACATCAATATGAAATAGATATTTAATATAGTAAAGAAAAATAAGAAATATAAGAAATTAAAGATAAATAAGATATATAAGATATATAAGATATATATAAGAAATTATAGATCGCTAAGATCGCTAAGAAATTAGAGAAATGATAGAAATCAGAGAAATTAGAGTCATAACTAGACTATCACTAACACCGGTTATTTAGTTAGATTTCAATCGAGTTACGTGTCGAAATTTGGTTTAGAAACTAGATTCGTCATAATCTCGTGTTTATTAGGTAGTGATCATACTTTACACGACCCGGGATTCTAATTTGTACTACAAGAAAATTTAAATTATTTTATGCTAATATAAGCGAATCTATTGACTTTACCTCTGGAACTACTCGAAAACGAAAAGCCTTACGTAGTGAACTTTTTACAAAAGAAGTATTTTAAGAATATGATCTTCCATTGATATTAAATCTCATCGAGAAGTAAAATGCCCTAGATGATGTAATGGTAAGTTTGAAAATTTTCGTTTGGTTTTTCGTTTGATTTAAGCAAAAGATCAATTGATGAAACTTACCTCCTTTTTATATGTTTTGTAGCGATATACACCACATGATCTTGAAATCGGCAAGTATGATCGCATACTGTGTCATCATTTTCAACGAAAATAGTTCTTTTCAATAAAAAGGGAATGAAATAAAACCATTTGTTGCCGAAAAAAATTCGATGTGCTATGTTTTGAGATCATTGTATCAAATTTCGAATATCTTGATCGATGAAAATATGCCATTTTGTGTGAGATTTCTCAATAATATATGACTTTACATATACATCCAAATTCAAAATGGCCGCTTTGGCCGAATAATCACGATGCTAGTTTTGATTCAGGATTATAATGAAAATAATCACACATTATTAAGTTCAATTGAGGTAGGGCATCCCCTAGAAATCGCGGGAGATAAATAAACAACGCCCAACTGACTTTTATAAAACGTACGACGATTAAAATTTGACTTCATTTAGATCTTCTATATATAGATTTGATCTTTCGAGTAAATATCTTTGTATTTTCTCAAAATAAAAAAAAAAATATACTATTTCCAATTCCAATCGTCAAACAAGCAACGATTTTTTTTTTGTCATCTCACACAATTTTAAAATCAACCAAAAAAGCACCCGAACAGAAAACTCCATTATTTATAATCATATGATTCATGTAATTCTATTTATTATTTTTAAACGGAAGATTCTACTTTCGATCTTTCCATTAGTACCATTCCTCAAAAAAAATATTTTCAATTTCACTTGAAATATGGTTATTTTTAATCAAACTTAATACTTATAATATGTAGTTAAATATACTGTAAAGTATAAAAAAAAAAAAAAAGCTGAACTATTTTTTTTTCACATACTGTATGTTATTCTCTAGTTTCTTTGCAACTTAATAAAGTTCTTTTATTTTTATAAGAAAATCAACTAGTGAAGTCAGTCGAAAGACGATTCTAAAAAAAAATTAAATAATTACTACCTTCTTCCTTCGCCACGAAAGTTAACGCAATAGTTCTTTCGAAGTTGTCTCATATATTATATTATATATGTATTCATTATCGCAAAAATAAATTATTATCACTTTTGTTATACGAAATTGAAAAATAATCATTGACAATTGGAGAGTTATATAAAATACGTTAAACATGGTTCTTTAATCATATCATATTTGATTGTATGTTTTAATCACAAATGGAGTTTCTTCAATTAAACTCGAATAGGGATGTTAAACGGTCCCAAATGACTGTAAACAAAGGTTGAAATTACGAGTTATAAAAAAGTCTGATCGCTTATCTATAATAAGTAACCCTTGATAAATAATCTTAATATGAACTTTGGAATCGACAATTAACATGGGACCGCCAAGGTGGGACCCGGTCCTTAGGACCGGGTCCTAAGTTTCAAAAATTAAGATTCTGGGTTCCCGCATAAGTTTAATATATATATAATTCCAGTAAAATAAAAATCTTCTCTAGAACTGGCAAATTTATTGGGACTTTTAGGACCGTTTAGGTCCGTTTAAAATCTCTAAACTCGAAGAAGGATTCATTTAATTAAAGAATAAAAAATAATAATTCTTTATAAATTTACCATAAGTAGAACTTTCGTATAAATTTAATCCTTTAACGCAGTTTCCGTATCTTTTGGTAAAAATGTAATGTTATTTACTCTCATTGTCATTTCGAAAATAGAAATTACATAATTATTCAATGAAAACAAGATTTAAAAATAGAACATAAATACCTATTTCGTTTTTTATCATTATCATTTTTTTATATATATATTCGTTCTCTGCTGTGTTCTCTACTTTTCAACTTAAATAAAAGAAGTTTTAAAGCTCTGCTCTTAATTTGTAACAAAACATAATAAATTGAAATGTATACAATTATTATTTTACTCGAAATTTTCTTGACTTTGGCATTGTTCGTACATTCAACTCCATTGGAGGTACGAAATCACTTAGCGCGCCTTTAAAATTTGCGATGACAATTCCCCGGTCACAATTAATACATTCACATATAATCAGGACCCTGTTATCTTTGGGCACAATCTTGCTATCCGGTTCACTGGTGTAGCAAATGAAGTTATTGAGAAAGGTGCAATAATGAGCTTTTATCATGATCAAAGCGGGAAAGTTGATCACGAAGCAGATTTTTGTAAGGATTTTGTTGAACAAAGTGGATTTGCATGTCCAGTTGAGGGAGATTTAGACTTGACTTCAACTATGTATTTAGAAAGTTCTCCTGAAGAACCCAAAAATGTTTCAGAAAACGTATATACGAAAATGATACGTATGTATAAAAAAAATAATGAAGGGCGTTCTCAAGCACCTAACTCAATTGATCGGAGAAATAATTTTATTAGTGGAAATTAGTTTAATCGCTTATCATTTCAATGAAAAAACTTTTTGGCTGCATACCACCTTTTTTTTTCATAGAACTACGCTGATTGGCTAAAATTTATTATTGATAGAATATAAATTGAGATCGTTCAAGCTCTTTGATAATTTTTCGCATTTTCACATTATGGATCAACACAAACGAATTATTTTCCTACTTTTTATAAAGACTTTCATAGCAAGTAAGAAGCACCGAGAAAATCAAATAAATAGAATAACTGATACCTACAATCTTCTGGCTTTCGCTCAAATGATAGCAAATGCAACTATTCCATTTATATTTTTTTCACCCAATATAAGAAGAGCCCGACTTCAACTGAGACCTAAAACTAGTGGGTTCTGGACTGAAGTCTTCCCATATTTATCAGATAATGAGGGTTATAATTCCTTTCGGCGTCACTTTCGTATTACCCTTACCACATTTAACACAATAGTTGCCCGATTAGAAACCCACCCAGTCTTTAATTTGGAGGCTCCTAATGCAATACATATATGGAAGCAAATTGCAGTTGTATTGTAGCGATTAGCTAATGGAACAAGTGTGCGGGTATTAGAGCAAACACTCGGAATAAGCCAAGGGTCAGTAATTCATTTTACAGATCGATTCTTAGAAGCATTACTGGATTTGGAGCAAAAAAAGATAATGTGGCCACAAGGAACACGATTGGCAGCTGTAATACAAGGTTTTGAACATGGAATAACTGGTTTAGCACATAATTTACCTAATGTTATTGGTGCTATGGATGGATTACATATACCTATTCATCCTCCTTCTAAGAATGGTGCACGTTTTGTAAATCGTAAGAGTTTTCACTCTATTAATCTTCTTGGAGTTGTGGATCATCAAAACGTTTTACTTATATACATATTGGGGAGGCTGGTTAGTAAAAAAAAATAATTTTATTAAATTTTTTATGAATATATTACAATACTAAATTTTTTAAAAGGAAGTGTTCATGATGCTCGTGTTTTCTATCGTTCTTCTCTTTATCATGAAATTTCTCATAATCCTGAACAATGGGTTCCAGGTGGCACTTATATTATTGCGGATTCAGCATATCCACTTAAAACATATTTGGTAAAGCCATTTTCTAACTTTGATATACTAACCCATCGAGAGAGAAAGTTTAATAAGATTCATTCTTCAATGAGAATGGTTGTGGAACAAGCATTTGGGCTATTAAAGGGGCGATGGAGGATTCTGTTAAAGGAAGTTAATTGCACAGATTTAGAACGAATCACTAGGATAATTCATGCATGTTGTATTTTACATAATATTTGTATTAATAATGGAGATTTATTATCATCTGAAGATGAGATAAAAGATGATAATAGTGAAGAAAATGATGAGGAAAATGAAGATGATGAAGAAATATTTATAGCGAATGAAGGAAGAGAAAGAATAGCAGGCATACAAAAAAGAGAATATTTAGAAAATCTTCTTATGAATGTTTAATATTTGTAATTATTAATAACAAAAAGCAAATACATGATAAATATAATAATTAAATATAATTATTTTTAAAATTTCATTAAAAACTGCTTAAAGATTTCCATTTGTTCATTATGTTGTTTTTGTTGTACTTCAACACGAATGTGTATATTGATTTTTATAGCTCCAATAATAGCTTCTGTCTGTTCTTTAATAAGAATTCGAAAATCATACACATTTCCTTTTTCATTATTAGCATGCATATTTTTTTGTTTTTTAAGATCAATCTATAATTTACAATATAAAATAATTATAAGTTATAATATTAATAAATAAATTATAAACAAGCAAATAAAACTTTATTACATTATTATCTTCATAATTATCAAGATTATTTTGTTCTTTACGTTTAATTCCATGAATTGAATCGCTTGTAACTGGTGCAATAATACTTGGATCATTTTTTAGAATCACATCCATATCATTATAAAATTCCCAATCATTTTGAACAGCTTCCTCACCAGTACTTGTGATAATATCTTTATATTGCGATATTTTTGATGAAGAGCTTCCCATTTTTTGCTGGATTGATGTTTTTGAACGCTTTTTTAAAGTTGAACTTGCAATAGAAGAACTTTGCATATTTAAAATAATTTTAACCCAGATTCGCCCTTTTTCTCTTGGATCTTTTACTCGCTGTAATGCTGGTTGTTTATTCCTACTTCTTCAATAAGCATTCGAGTTTCTGCTTTTGTCCATCTATTTGTTGATTTATTTAACGTATTAAGATCATTGGAAGATGTTTTATTATCTAATGTGTCAGAAATAATGGAAGATGTTTTATCTAAATTACCAGAAGCAATAGGAGACGTGTTGGAAGTAGATTCTAATATAATAGGTAATGAATTTTCTTGACTGTTATTTGTATAAATAGGAGATCTTAAAAGAGATATCTTAAAAAAATCACTAGTTAAATTTTATTCTTATGTAAATTCAAAGGTAATAATATAAAATATTATATTACTTCTTCATGTTCGGTATTTGCTTTGTTTAAGGTTAGAGAGTTCATAAAAGAATTGTGTAGTTGTTGTTGTTGCAAAAATATTTGAAAATTAGTAAAATCCGTAAAAGGAGAAATGGGAGTAACTAGAGTTGCTTGGGCAGTTGCTTGGGCAGGCATTTGTCGAGTAACCACTTTCTTTTTTTTATTATTATTTTTTGAAGACATGATAATTCAATAATGTTGAAATTATAGAGGAATGAAGAGAAATAGCTCAAGGTTCGATTGAAATCATTATTTAAATGATCTTAATGCTTTGTGCAACATTTCAATCAATCACCAATCACATTGAGGGAGACGCCCGAATTTTAATAATTATTTTGACTGACAATTAATAATTAACTTTTATCATTATTATTCAGATGGAAAAATTATGCTTTATCTTGATGGATATGCTATAGTTTATCAGTTTATCACGCTTGATTAATAGATTGCTTTTATTTTTTGTCTTATTTTCTCAATGTGTTTCTTTACGAATATATAAGTTTTTTTGAATGACTTTTATACATTGAAGCCTAAAAACAGATGTATAATACTGACAAAGTTATGAATAAATCGAATGATTGCAATGAAATTTGTTATTTGTAAAAATATTTTTCCGCATCGCCAGTGATTGTAACGTCTCCGTATAAAGTTTAATTATGTTTTTTATTTCATATTTATACATATAAGAAATTTAAATAATATTCATCTAGTAAAGCCAGACGATGAATGAATGGTTCTCTGAAAAAAATTAAAGATAAATAAAAAAAAAAAGAAGGCTCCGCAATACGTAACTTTCATTCTTTGGCACAATAAGCCGATCATACATTAAATATCTTCATTATAATTCCTAAAAATAATATTACAG